ATTCTTGGTACTTTATTTTATTTACTTTACTAGGATATTAATTTGTGGTCTAGGAATTAACATTGAAAACTTGAAATATGTAAGAAGTAGTCCAAAGCCAAACACCTCACGTGAGTTATGGGCATTTAATTACTGAGGCAGTTATTGGGCTGTAAATGAGTTCATCTCTGATGGCGGCTGTAACCCATGCACTTCTGAATTGGAAGGATAGATGATAGAAAGTGGTAATATAACATGAGAGCGTCCACGAGTTGCTTTTAATTGGCAAACTGGCAGTATACAGTGATAACTGTTTGGTCTGTCCACCGATTGGAATCTAAGGAAAGTACATAAAATTACAGGAGCATATAATTGGTGTACTAAACTCATTTTCTTATGTTATCACAGCTGGCATCTTCAGGTTATTAAGAGCCTTTAAACCAGCCATCTTCAAAGAGATCTAATTGTCAATATGGTCCTTTATATGTTATTCCTGTTGGCACAGAGCTGAAGAGAGATAAACAGGCACTAAAATATGCACAAATTTTCTGTGTACAACTTTCTTATTTCAAGTTCATGGAAGATCAGTAAATGTTAATGAGGATAAAACCATTCTTTAGATTCATTCAATGCACAGGGCTATCAAACCATGAAGGATAATTTATTAACATTATAACCTGAATCAGATGTCTTCAAATAGTTAACTCATTAGTTCCAGGAAGTTCTGTGATCTTTTTCTATAGAGGTGGTCCTACAAAAAGGACTTTCTCAAGGTATAAATGATGTATTAGAGCAAGGAAAAGCAAGCTCAAGTTCACATTCTTGGACGAGCAATGAATTATTTGTTGTTTCTCATACTTATTCTGGCTGGACAGTCTGAGGGACACATCTAGAAAGATTTTCACACTAACCCCATCACTACAGATCCCTTCAGGAGACTTTTCCCAACAGCAAAATAGGGTTTTTAGAACCAAAGGAAACCAAGCCAAAACTATCCCCTACCTCATGCCATTCTCGGTTAGGGGAAAAATTCCCAAAACATTGAGGTGTGTGAAATAGAAAGACCAGAGATGAGGAAGGGTAAGGAGGTGTCAGCCTAGCATTAATGATTATTAAAGATTCATTCTAGGTTTATCTTCTAAGAAATCTGTCTTCCTTTAGGCATACTGCCTATGAGTGCAAATGGCAGCAAATTAATGGAGATACCACATTCTCTACTATTTTAGGATTTCCATCTTTCCGACTTATTTCTGGGAGTCTTCAGGGACACCTTACCTGTCTTTAAAATGTGACCTCAGTCTGCATTGATTCTGTCAGCTCTCGCTGGTTGTACTTGTGGGAAGGGCCCTCACCGCTGGTCCTGCCACTGGGCTGCTATCCTCGGCTGTGTGCTTTTGACACTCTGGCCCCTCGTGCTCTCCGGAGGATTTAATGTGCTGAAACCATACTTAAATCTATGTCTTTTGTGTCCATTCACATTCTCAGGTGACTGAAAACATGAATTCATGGGAGGCTGGGGTCTGGAACATAATCCAAGGGACAAATGTCACACTGAACTTGGAATTGTTTGGACACTGAGGCCTGGAGCCTCAACTTCCATTCGGAAGAATTCTTGACTCAGAAGGCCTCTCAGTCTCATGTAAAGATCCACATCTCACTGGTTTCCAAGATAGTTCCGTTTCCCAGATGTGGCACAGCTCAGCCTTCAGCTACAGTCTGTCATGGGTAGGTTTGTAGTTGATCTCCAGATATTTTCAGAACTGTATGATGAAATAGATTTCTTCCAGATGGTGGCTTAATCTCTAAATCACTGGTCACTAGTCTGTTCCCAGCTGAGTGTAACCCAATACATTGAGACGCAGTCATCCTTCAACTCAAGAAATCTCATGATAACTCCGATTCCAGGTTTCAAATCACTGCACATAGTTTAAATTTTTTTTTTTACTATCGTTATTAAAAAAGTACTGCAGGCAGCTGAGGATATGGTTTATTTGAATGTAAGTATGGTTTGTATATACTGCTCAAGAAAAAAAAAAGCACCTAGTTACTGTTATTTAGCTACAATATTAGACAGCTGCCATTGCATATGCTCCAGCCTGGAATTCCAGTAAATGCTTTCCAAGTCTATGTGCAGGATTATTTTAAGCCCACTACATTTTAATGTTATTACTGCAGTTATAACAGACAATGTTTTATTTACTAATTATGACAATGTTTTATTTACTTTATATATCAAGGAAATAAGTCGTTTGGCTAAAATTATCTACTATATCTCAATTACACTGTAATAGGATACTAGCTAATATCATTCAGGATAAAATCTGGAATAAATCAGTTAAGTTAATAATCTTGATAATTTTAAGATGAAATAACCCTTTGTTCTCAAATTTAAATACTTCATATTTTTAGTATGTTTGTGAGCTAACAATAGAAAAACATGGCAAGTTCCAGGACCATGGGATTTTCCTTACTCTAAGCAAAGGCTGAAGCCTGAATGTAGGTCAGTAACCTTTAGAAGGGAGAGAGCTGCGCGTTTGGCCGGCCGTATCTCTGAACAGCTTCCATTAAGTAATTCTCACTGCCATATTTGGTTCCTTGTGAGCTTTACTATCTCTCTCCCTGACTATCCCTTCCCTCTTTTAACAATGATGATAATTATAATATCAGCAAAGATTATAATAATATACACATTATATTAGCATCTTAGCAGAAATGAGGTATTCCCCCCAAAAGAATTACTAGTAAGTAAAATTTACTTTATTTATTTATTTATTTAGATTTTTGCTGTAGGGTGTATGTGCTCACCGGAGAGATAGAGAGAGAGAGACAGAAAAAAAAAGTGAGAAATTACCCCCTGGAGGGGTGGTCATGCCTCAATCCCTTCTTTACTCTCCTCTTGGGATTTTTGGGCATACATGCACATATACCCAGTATGAATTTTAAGCTACTGGGCCTGGGACTTCAACTGTATTTGGTGTGGAAGTTCAGTACCTTGATCACTCTGCCACCTACTGGCCCCTAAAATTGATTGAAGTAAAAAAAAAATTAGATCTGCCTGGAAGCTTAGTGTTAAAGGGAACCTGATTCCATATGGCTCACCATGGTTCGAGCCCAGGTGGTTTGAAAACGCATGGGGTACATGTCTGCATACATGCCCAAACTGTGGACAAGATGAAGAAATGCTGAAGAGATCTTGGCATGACCACGCCCCTTGGGCACTCCTTTCACCCTCTTTCTTCCTCTCTGTCTCTGGCAAGTACACATGCTCTCTGGTAATTAAAAACAACAACAACAACGACAACAACCAGATAAAATAGCTTTAGATGGTTTCGATGAAAACAGTTATAACATTTATATACAGCAAGTAAAATTGACAGAAAAAAGTATTATCTTGGTGACAAATTGTTATTGAGTTCTAGATTACCGATACTCTTTGGATTTATTTAATCACTTTTTCATTCATCTAGTCAGTACGTATTTATTAAGTGTTACCATGTTCCAAGAACCATGAAAGACAGTAGACAGAAAGTATACACAGAGCCCTGCCCTGACGAGGCTTGCGTTCTCATCAGAATGTAGGGTGTGTGCCTCTACGACAAATGGGCGCCGACGGCTGTGGTTTTGTTGTTCCATCTCTGTCCTCTGCTGTCAGCTATCTCCTCTAGCTGGCACCACGTCTTCCCTTTTCATCTGGGTTACATCGCAGCTCTTTGCCCTCTGCCTCCCTCTAAACCAGTAATAAACCACAGCCCTGGAAGGAGCCCTAGCAGCTCACTGTGTGACCCCGTAGATGTGTTGCCCCTGGCCCTCCTGAGGAGTTCTCCCTCTCTACTTTCAGTGTTTGGGGTTTTCCTTTGTTTCCTTTTGTTATTCATGTGATTCAGCTCTAATGATGGGATTTGATTATGAGGATCAAAGGTCTCTGTGTCATTTGGCCCCCATGGGAAGATGAATGCATCTGTGAAATGAAATGAAACTCTTGGAAGAGTAACCCTCACCAAAAGATATCACATACTAATAGTAGAACATCAATTGTGACCTTTCTTACAACTGTAGCTTTCTCTATTCATTCTCTGGACCTCTACAGAAATTCAAAAAAGCAGACACCCAAACTTTCAAAGGGGAGGACAATCAGTTTTGCTACACTATGTTTGGACCATTTTAAAACTGCCTGGCAGGAGTCCAGGAAACAAGCGAAAATATGAAACTGCATCCGAGAGATCAGTGATGACTAAGGTAAACGGGATTTGCTAACACTCGTTCACAGACTCCTCAGACACCAGAGCTGGACGGGCGTCATCCTGAGCGGAGATGAAGTATGGCGAAGAGCTCCAGTTCTGAGGCCTAATCACTCACCCCCTCCCCGCCATTGACCGCAGCCTGGCTACTGCTAATCTCGGTTTATTCATATACACTTCACAGGACTGTGACGACTAAGTGAATTAATTAAAGATAAAATGTTCTGTGTTGTACCTGGCACGCAGTAAGTTCCTGATCAATGTTAGCTATTATTACCACAGTTTCTTCACTATTTTTATGGCTGAAGATACAGGCCCTTAGATTTTAAGCAATCAGCAAGTTAGAGGTAAAACCAATGGCAAAACCTGATTCTCACCGTGTTACACAGGCTTATTTTTCCTTGAAAGCTTGCTAACTTAGCAAATGGAAAGAAATACTGAATCATTTCAATGATCGTGAAGAAGCTACATAATTACATATGAGTGGGATCTTCAAAAAGTTCATGGATAATGCACATTATGGAAAAAGTATGCATGGATTTCAAAACTTCTTTTGCATCAAAATAAACTCATACTCTAATTCCATTTCTTCCTGAGTTTTTTGAAGTCCCTACTTTCCCTCTAAAATGGAAATATCCTAAGATACCTTTGCCTATTTTTCTTCCCTCAACTCTCAGGGAGCAGGACTAATTCCATGGTGCCGCGTCCAAGTCCAAGCGAATTTCAATTCTATAAGACTGTAAAATGGTTGCACTAATAGAGCAATATATATTTTTTTCTTACCTTAAACTTGTCAACTTCAGCTTTTGAACATGTTGCATGATATGATAGCACCTGATTCAGAAGGAAAAAAAGGAACTTTAATAACTGGAGAGGCATACAGTTTTTGAAATTCACCTGGCTTAAAAATAAACCTTGCTCATGTATATCTTGATGGAACAGTGGATTTTAAAGTATGACAAGAAACGTCTAATAACAGTCTTTTGAGGCAAGAAGAAAGTTACAAAACAGAGGCCATCTGCCTGTGATTAGATAAAAAAGCCGATCAGGGCAGAAAATTCTCTGCCCTAGATAACGTGGGTAGGAGATTTCCAGTGGTCGGCGTCTAGCCGATTAAGCCACATTTGATATAGCCAATGGGATAATAAGAACAATCAGTGGGTCCAACCAACGATCAATTGATATGACCTAGATTAAAAAATTAGTAACCTCATAGAATGTAACTGCTGAGACCCTTGAGCCTCTCTCTTTTTCTTTCTCTTTCTCTCTCTCTCCCCCAACTTGGGCCCACTCCTACCTCTTAGGAATGCACTTAGGCTTTTACTTCGTGAACTACCCTTTCCTATCGCTATTGGCATGTTTCGTTCAGTTCTTTGTCGAAAACACCGAGAACCACCAGGTTCATTATCACAGAAGTCATCTTGCAACAGTTCGATATAGATCATACATTAAAGGTTATTTTATACCAGGATTGTTCTATAATTACTTCCTCAAAGAGGAATGATGTAATTCAAGACCAGAGTCCCCAAGAGATGTGAATATTTATCCTGCAAAATGTTCTGAAAATAAGTAAATAGGTAGTGTGTGCTTGCGTGTGTGTGCTTGTGTGTGTGTGTGCGTGTGTGTGTGTGTATGTCCTGTAGAAGAGTCTGTCCACTGCAGCTTTCATTCCCTCCCCTATTCTCACTTGCCTACTTTATCATGTAGAAAAGATTATGTTGTGGGACCAGCAGTTGGCGTAATGGCTATGTTGCTGGACTCACATATAGTTGACCGTGGTTCGAGTCCTGGACCCTGTGGCTTAAACTCACACTGGGCACGTATGTGTGCATGCCTAAGATCCTGAGAGGAGAATGGAGGAGAAGGGATTGCAGTGTGGCTGTCCCGCCTCGGGGGTGATTTCTCACTTTCTATCTCTGTCTCTCTCTGTCTTTCTGGCGAGTGCATGCACCCTATAGCAAGAACTTCTCAAAAATAAATAAATAAATAAATAAAAGATTATATCATTATGTCTTTGTGACTCTTTTTGTAACAGGATTATTGCCTTGTTGACATCAGCCCCACCATGTCGTTTGCTTTGGCCAGTAGAGTGTGGAAAAAGTGACAGATATCCCTTTAAGAGAAAACATACGGTTCTGCCTTCTCCCTTTTCTCTCTGCCAGGGGAAGGACATATCCTGCGGGATTGCTCCTTCAGCCTGGACTCCAAATTAAAGGAGACACACTGAGCAGAGCTGTAGCTAACCTGCAGCTGATGACAGGTCTAGCGAGCAAGAAATTAACTTTTGTGTTTATCACCATGTTATAACTCACAGATAGAGAGATGTAAAAGTTCACACAAACACAATTTTCAGACTCCCGCAGCTAGGTGTGGCCATGTGGGATGGGCTTGGATTGTGATACTAATTTGGCTCATAGATTATAAGTGGACATGTTGGGGCTACCTCCTTCCTTTCCTTTTGAAATCCATGCATACTTTTCTCATAATGTGCATTATCCATGAGCATTTTGAAGATCCCACTCATATGTAATTAAGTAGCTTCTTCATGATCTTGAAATGATTTTTTTTTCAGCTGTGAAGCCTAGAGTGCAGCAAATCCAGTGTCTATGAGGTGACAAGCATGAGTGTGAACACTAGCTTATTACAGATAGTAATAAAGAGCAGAAAGGGAAAG